GGGCACCACTTCCCCCAGCACTGGGCACCACTCCCACGGCTCAGTGGGGTCCTGGGAAGGGTGTGGTGCCAGCTCTCAGCCCTGCCTGGCAGCCCCAAGGCCGGGGTGCTGCTCGGAGGGGCTCTGTGCTACCGGCCCCTAAACCTGCCCGGGCCCCTCCTGCCTGCCAGACAGAGCAGCCAGCCCTCACGGCACGGACCCCAAAAGCAGGGACCCCAAAAGCAGGGACCCCAAAGCAGGGCACGGCGTGTCCCTCGGGGCTGGCACCCCCAGGGCAGCTCTGGGAATGGGGCTGGATCGGGGCTCTGGATCAGCCACTGCCTGTGTGTGTGGGGGTGCCTCTGGGACAGGGGGACACCCCGGGCAGGGAAGGGCTGGAGCAGGGCATGTAGTGATGCCTCTGGCTCTGCCCCACACCCCCGGGGCAGGGAGGGGCTCTGGGGGTGCCTCTGGCCCTGCCCCACACCCCCGACGGAGCTCAGAGCACCCCCTCCCTTCCCCACCACCCCCGGGGCAGGGGGGCTGCAAACAGGGACCTCTCAGGGATGATTTTTGGGGTGCCCTAAGGAGCACGGGGGCTCTGCCATGTCTGGGGAGCCCCCAGGGCAGAGGGGCTGCACTCAGGGCCTTCAGGAGGACGATTTTTGGGGTGCCTTAACAAGCACGGGAGCTCTGCCATGTCTGGGGACCCCTGGATTGGAGGGGTTGCAACCAGGGCCCTCACAAGGCTGATTTTTGGGGTGCCCTAAGGAGCACGGGAGCTCTGCCATGTCTGGAGATCCTGGATTGGAGGGGTTGCAACCAGGGCCCTCACAAGGCTGATTTTTGGGGGGCTGTAAAGGGCACGGGAGCTCTGCCACGTCTGGGGACCCCCGGGGCAAAGGGGCTCCAACCAGGGACTTCTCCAGCAGGTTTTTGGGGGGCACAAAAGCTCTGCCCTGTCTGGATTGAAGGGGCTGCACTCAGGGCCCTCAGGAGGATGATTTTTGGGGTGCCCTGCCCTGTCTGAGGACCCTGGGGGCACAGGGGCTGCACTCAGGGCCT